AACAGGAAAAAGTGACTGAAAATGTGACTGAAAATGTGACTGAAAAATTCAAAATTTTCTCTTGGAAAAGTCAGTGGGGACTCAAAATAATTTTGGGAATTATTTTTAACTTTGTATTGAAATTTTTAACCTGGAGCTCCTTGTGCTGAGGGCTGAGAGGCCTTGAGCAGGAATCTCCGTGGAAATTGTGTTTGCACAGGGAATATTCCCCATTCTATGTTCCAGGAATATTCCCCATTCCCTGCTCCAGGAATATTCCGAATTCCAGAGCTGAGGGGATGAGTTCTAAATTCTCAATTTATAACTTGAGAATTGGCAATTCCCAACTCTTTAGAGGGAAATTTTGGGATCCTCCCCTTTGTTATTGTGTGTGGAATGAGAAAACACCTTGGAAATTGTGGAAATGGAAATTGTGTTTGCATGGGGAATATTCCCAATTCCCTGCTCCAGGAATATTCCCAATTCCAGAGCTGAGGGGATGAGTTCTAAATTCTCAATTTATAACTTGAGAATTGACAATTCCCAACTCCTTGAAGGAAAACTTTGTGATCCTGCCCTTTGTTATTGTGTGTGGAATGAGAAAACACCTTCCCAAAAGGAAACAGGAAAATGTGAGTGAAAATGTGACTGAAAAAGTGACTGAAAAATTCAGAATTTCTCTTGGAAAATTCAGTGGGGAGTCAAAATAATTTTGAGAATTATTTTTAACTTTGTATTGAAATTTTTAACCTGGAGTTCCTTGTGCTGAGCGCTGAGAGCCCTTGAGCAGGAATCCCCATGGAAATTGTGTTTGCACAGGGAATATTCCCAATTCCAGGCTCCAGGAATATTCCCCATTCCCTGTTCCAGGAATATTCCCAATTCCAGAGCTGAGGGGATGAGTTCTAAATTCTCAATTTATAACTTGAGAATTGGCAATTCCCAACCCCTTGGAAGAAGATTTTGGGATCCTCCCCTTTGTTATTGTGTGTGGGATGAGAAAACACCTTCCCAAAAGAAACAGGAAAATGTGACTGAAAATGTGACTTAAAATGTGACTGAAAAAGTGACTGAAAAATTCAAAATTTCTCTTGGAAAAGCCAGTGGGGAGTCAAAATAATTTTGAGAATTATTTTTAACTTTGTATTGAAATTTTAACTNAAAAGAGCCTGGCAGCATCAGTGGGGGGAAGTGATAAATGATTATTTACATCGGGATTTGCTGGGGAAGTTTGTAACCTGGGATTTGGGTTCTGCGCCTAAAGGTCACTAACCAAAAAGCAAGTAGTGGGGTTTGAATGGGTTTTTAATTATTTTATGTTATTACTTACTTTCCTGCCTTGGTATCCAAGCACAAACATGATCATATTTACCTTATTTCAAGTACTGGCTTTCAGCCAACCTTGCTGCCATCTGGCAGCTGAGGTGCAGCAATATCAACCCACGCTAAGTCATCCCTGCTGTCCTGGGTGGAAATCAACCCTTTACCTGTCATTTCACTGCAGAAATCCTGATTAAATAAATACCTTGAGAGCTGATGTGTCCTGTCAGCAGAGCAGCTGCCCCACACAAATCCCCTCTCCATGGAAGTGGCAGCAGCCCTGAAAAACTTCCCACTCCTGCTTTGTCCTCAGCAGTGGAAACAATCCATGATTAAGATCCTTAGATGAGATGAAGCAAATAAAGTTCAATTTCTTGCCCGCTGTTTGTATCAAATTACTCCTAATTTTTGCTGACAGTATCTTGCAGCTTTTCCGCTTTGTTGGGTTTTATGGGAGGATTGACTTTAATTTTTTTTTTTTTCGGAACAAGCAGAGCTGGATCCCAGCTAAATGAAATGTTATTCCCTGATTTCACTCTCTGTGCTGTGAGCAGCACTGCAAACATCTTGATAAAGACAAAATTAAATCCTCTTTGTAGCCAAACAAACCAAGCCAATCTGGCCCTGATGACATTGTGAGATAATTTTATTTTTCCATGGAGGTGGGTCTGGCTTGGCTGGCACAGAGTGGTTTTATTGGCAAGGCCTCAGTCCTGCTCAGGGGAGTGCAAAATTGCCTTAAACCTGCACTTAAAATCCTTTCTGGTTTTTCATTTCATTCAGCATTTTTCTGCTTTTGAGGGTTTCTTACCAGACCTCTTTTATTGATGGAGTTAAAGTTGTTTATTACAACAAATTTAATGTTTTAAAGGACGTGCAGGATGGCTTGGGTTTATTTTTGTGCCCTAACAGCAGGAGACTGAATGCAGATGTTCTTTCAGAAATATAAAATATTTTATGACAGAGCTGTGATTCCCTTTCTGTATCAGTGATGCAGCAGGGATTGACCTAAACCTAAACCTAAACCTAAACCTAAACCTAAACCTAATCATATTTAAACTATTCTAGAAAAATATTTTGATGTTTTCCAACAGAACTGGGGTCAGAGGCAGCAAAGGAGAGAAGGAAGGATTTTTTAAGTAGGGAAAACCCAACCAAGCTTGGATTCCATTGTTCTAAACCAGGTATATTTGAATTTTTAACCTAAATACATTGCAAAACACAGGGAAATCAGGTCTGAGCAGCTGATCTTTAAATATAAATATATTTTTAAAATTGTTTATTGAACTAGAGGAGGATTATAATGCATGGCTTGGCATTTTGGCACAATATCTTGGACTTCAGCAGCAAGGATTGGCCTAAACCTAAACCTAAGCATTTTTAAACTATTCTAGAAGAATATTAAGAATATTTTGATGTTCCAGGAATATTCCCCATTCCAGGCTCCCCATTCCAGAGCTTATGGGATGAGTTCTAAATTCTCAATTTACAACTTGAGAATTGGCAATTCCCAACTCTTTGGAGGGAAATTTTGGGATCCTGCCCTTTGTTATTGTGTGTGGAATGAGAAAACACCTTCCCAAAAGGAAATAGGAAAATATGACTGAAAAAGTGACTGAAAAATTCAAAATTTCTCTTGGAAAAGCCAGTGGGGAGTCAAAATAATTTTGGGAATTATTTTTAACTTTGTATTGAAATTTTTACCTGTTACTGTGCTGAGGGCTGAGAGCCCTTGAGCAGGAATCCCCATGGAAATTGTGTTTGCACAGGGAATATTCCCAATTCCCTGCTCCAGGAATATTCCTATTTCCAGAGCTGAGGGGATGAGTTCTAAATTCTCAATTTATAACATGAGAATTGGCAATTCCCAACTCCTTGGAGGGAGATTTTGGGATCCTGCCCTTTGTTATTGTGTGTGGAATGAGAAAACACCTTGGAAATTGTGGAAATGGAAATTGTGTTTGCACAGGGAATATTCCCAATTCCCTGCTCCAGGAATATTCCCAATTCCAGAGCTGAGGGGATGAGTTCTAAATTCTCAATTTACAACTTGAGAATTGGCAATTCCCAACCACTTGAAGGGAAATTTTGGGATCCTCCCCTTTGTTATTGTGTGTGGAATGGGAAAATGTGACTGAAAAATTCAAAATTTCTCTTGGAAAAGCCAGTGAGGACTCAAAATAATTTTGGGAACTATTTTTAACTTTGTATTGAAATTTTTAACCTGGAGCTGCTTGTGCTGAGGGCTGAGAGGCCTTGAGCAGGAATCCCCATAGAAATTGTGTTTGCACAGGGAATATTAATATTCCCCATTCCATGCTCCAGGAATATTCCCCATTCCAGGCTCCAGGAATATTCCCAATTCCAGAGCTTATGGGATGAGTTCTAAATTCTCAATTTACAACTTGAGAATTGGCAATTCCCAACTCCTTGAAGGGAAACTTTGGGATCCTTCCCTTTGTTATTGTGTGTGGAATGGGAAAAAGTGACTGAAAAAGTGACTGAAAAATTCAAAATTTCTCTTGGAAAACCCAGCGGGGAGCCAAAATAATTTTGAGAATTATTTTTAACTTTGTGTTGAAATTTTTACCTGGAGTTCCTTGTGTGAGGGCTGAGAGCCCTTGAGCAGGAATCTCCATAGAAATTGTGTTTGCACAGGGAATAGTCCCCATTCCCTGCTCCAGGAATATTCCCCATTCCAGAGCTGAGGGGATGAGTTCTAAATTCTCAATTTATAACTTGAGAATTGGCAATTCCCAACTCCTTGAAGGGAGATTTTGGGATCCTCCCCTTTGTTATTGTGTGTGGAATGGGAAAACACCTTCCCAAATGGAAACAGGAAAATGTGACTGAAAATGTGACTGAAAAAGTGACTGAAAAATTCAAAATTTTCTCTTGGAAAAGTCAGTGGGGACTCAAAATAATTTTGGGAATTATTTTTAACTTTGTATTGAAACTTTAACCTGGAGTTCCTTGTGTGAGGGCTGAGAGCCCTTGAGCAGGAATCCCCATGGAAATTGTGTTTGCACAGGGAATATTCCCAATTCCCTGCTCCAGGAATATTCCCCATTCCAGAGCTGAGGGGATGAGTTCTAAATCCTCAATTTACATCTTGAGAATTGGCAATTCCCAACTCCTTGAAGGGAGATTTTGGGATCCTCCCCTTTGTTATTGTGTGTGGAATGAGAAAACACCTTGGAAATTGTGGAAATGGAAATTGTGTTTGTACAGGGAATATTCCCAATTCCCTGCTCCAGGAATATTCCCAATTCCAGAGCTGAGGGGATGAGTTCTAAATTCTCAATTTATAACTTGAGAATTGGCAATTCCCAACTCTTTGGAGGGAGATTTTGGGATCCTCCCCTTTGTTATTGTGTGTGGAATGAGAAAATGTGACTGAAAAAGTGACTGAAAAATTCAAAATTTCTCTTGGAAAACCCAGCGGGGAGTCAAAATAATTTTGAGAATTATTTTTAACTTTGTATTGAAATTTTAACCTGGAGTTCCTTGTTTGAGAGCTGAGAGGCCTTGAGCAGGAATCCCCATGGAAATTGTGTTTGCACAGGGAATATTCCCCATTCCAGGCTCCAGGAATATTCCCCATTCCCTGCTCCAGGAATATTCCCAATTCCAGAGCTGAGGGGATGAGTTCTAAATTCTCAATTTACAACTTGAGAATTGGCAATTCCCAACCCCTTGGAGGGAGATTTTAGGATCCTCCCCTTTGTTATTGTCTGTGGGATGAGAAAACACCTTGGAAATTGTGGAAATGGAAATTGTGTTTGCACAGGGAATATTCCCAATTTCCTGCTCCAGGAATATTCCCAATTCCAGAGCTGAGGGGATGAGTTCTAAATTCTCAATTTATAACTTGAGAATTGGCAATTCCCAACTCCTTGGAGGGAAACTTTGGGATCCTCCCCTTTGTTATTGTGTGTGGAATGAGAAAACACCTTCCCAAAAGGAAACAGGAAAA